GATTGCTATAAACTACAAATATTTTTATTCTTTAACCTTTTTAGACAGTAAATCAATTATTTTCAAGTAATAATATTATTTTAATATATAACAATTTTTAATAATTTTTTATATATCTTATTAAATTTTTATCTTAATTATATATGTATAACTATCGGCATTTAATAATACTTGACGAGAATGTCAAAATGAACTAAAAATATCAGATTAAAAGTCGAAACTAGATCCAAATACTAAATAAATATAAAAGTACAACTTATTTAAATCTCATTTCTCTCTTTTAATTTATTATATTATTAAGGAAAAGTTAATAAGTTTAAATTTTAAGATATGATTTTATTGTGTTAAATAACGCAATCCTGTTTGTTATATATTATTCATTTTCTTAATTAAAGGGGTTTTTAACTTAAAAAATCGTAAAATATGGAAATTAAGCTCGTTATGTTTGTAACATAAATTAGTGAATATTTCCCATATTGATTAAGTAATTTTAATTTAATATTTTTCAAAAAATAAAAGTTAAAATAAACGGTTAAATAAGCTTTTCATTTCTTGATCTTTTAAAATTTTGATTTTTCATTCTTCTTAAAAAAAATTTCAACTTTAATTCTTAATTTTTCATTAATTCTCTAACACATAAATTACTCAATAGAGTTAAATGTCTTTTATTAAGTGATGATATGTGTTAATAAGTTATTATTGATTCAACTATTGATACTCACATGTTTGTCTACGCTTTGTCATATAATACATGTAATTTTTTATTATAATGGTGAAGATTTATTTTTTTATTTTTTGTTTAAAAAAAGAATATCTGACCATGAATATAACAATTCGATAGGTTACTACTTTTAGTATAGCTCACTTACTACATAGTGGAATACTAAATCTGTAATCGACTACTCTAAGATTGTCATGCAATAGTTACATGGTCATTTTATGTTATATATATATATATATATATATGTGTGTGTGTGTGTGTGTGATATAAAACATAATCAACTAAATATATATA